GGTTGCTACGTCCATCTTTTATACAGTCTATGGGTCCAATCAGGGAGGATTTGGGGGAGGGGCCTAGTTTTCACCTAGCTGACAGCAATCGCCCCTGATGGACAGCTCAGTTCATTCATCTCCGTGGAAACCTGTGTGATGACAAAACTCCCAGCAAATCAGTACAACAAAAAAAATTAACAGCTTGAGCAAGAGGCATGTGCACCTTCCTCTCAGCACGCCACGCCGACCATGAATAAAGATGTAACATATTTCAGTAAGCTCCCCGCAGCATACTGCCAAAACAACTAAAGCGCTTTTTAGGCAAAGTGAAATGTTTTGCAATGGCCATGATAATCACCTGATCGGAATCCAATTAAGCATACATTCCACTTGCTGTGGACAAAACTGAAGTGAAAATGCCCCAAGAACAAGCAGGAACTGAAGACAGCAGCAGCAGAGGCCTGGCAGAGCATCACCAGGGATAAAACCCAGCGTCTGGTGATGTCTATAGGTTCGAGACTTCCAGCAGGCATTGACTGCAAAGAATTTGCAAACCAATATTAAAAATGACAATTTGATCTATGATTATGCTAGTTGTCCAATTACCTTTGGTCCCTTCAGAAAGTGATGGGCACATATAAAATGTGTTGTAATTCCTACACCGTTCACCTGATTTGGATTTGAATACCCTCAGATTAAAGCTAGAAGTCTGCACTTAAAGCACATCTTGGTTGTTTCATGTCAAACCCATCGTGGTGGTGTACGGAGCTGAATTGCTGATAATTGTGTCAATGTCCAAATATTTATGGACCTGACTGTAGGCGCTCACAACACTATCCCTGCCCTCACCAGCTCAACTCGCTCACCTTAGATTGTTCTCTGTTCGATACACTCAAACACTCAACATGTCTCTTTGACTAACAAACAACCTCTGTCCTTCAACACCTTAATTGTCCTCTAATGTCACTGCCGTAAGATAAACAGATGAGGAAATAAGTTTGGTGTCAATTGTTTGAGAGAATATATTTTTCATGGCATCTAGTGCTGTCCAGTGTGGTTCTGCTGAGTGCCTGTTGCATCCTGTTATTACAGTTGTGAACAAAAGTTTACATATACTTGTTGACATCATGTGTATTATGGCAGTTTTAAGTTTGCAATGACTTCTATAACTCTGAATTTTCCGTGACGGGATGATTGAAACGTGTATTTGTCACAAACAAAGAGTCAAAAATTTACTTCCAGCAACTTGAATGATCAGTTTTGGTGATGTAGACAGTTGTGTTAATCAATTTTTTTTTTTAGTGGCAGGGCCTCTTCACTTCTTGTGAGTCATTATGATTGACTAAAGCTGCTGACCGCTCCATTTGAAACACTCTTTAGACTCAGCAACAAATACATTAATGAGAAAGTCTGAGGAGCTTAGCACGGATCTGAAAAAGCGAATCATGAACAAGTCAGAAAAGTGACTTGAAGTCATTTCAAAGCAGCTACGGAGTGAACTGTGCAAACAGTTGATTTGTGGGTATAAATTTCATGGTACAGTTGTGTCACCGCCACGATCGGAGAGAAAATGCAAAATATCACCTGCTGCTGAGAGACAATTGGTCAGGATGGTTAGGAGTCAGCCAAGAATCACCAAAAAGCAGGTCTGCAGTGAAGTATATACATGATTGTTCCCTTTGACAAAGACAAGTGTTTAATGATTCAATCACAGATAATTAGGTGTTGTAAGAGTCACTGGAAACTCAAGTCTGCCGTGATATAAGAGTACATGGTCTTTACAAGTCTGTGTAAACTTTTGTTCACAACTGTAGTAATGCCTACCATTGAGGAGCTGCTGAATGCTGACAGGAAGGAGAAACTTCTGGATAAAAACACAGGAGTGGCAGGACAACTGAAAGGTCAGCTTTCTGACACTACAACAATTCTACAATTTATGTGCGATATCGCTAGACTGTGCAGATGTCAAATGAATGAAGAATGAATAAGAGATCTTGTGAAAATGAGAAAATTCTAAATTTTTTGTGATCTTATGGTAAAAACTGGTAAGTTTCTTGTTATAGTTTCTCATAGAAGCAGCAAAGTCTTGTAATGACAAGAAAGTTTCTTGTAAAAATGAAAATATACATATATATATATATCATTAACATTTTTTCTTAACATTTTTGGTAAAAATGAAAAAAATGTTTCCCATTGAAAAATACAAAAAAATCTTTGTTATGACAAAAAAATGCTGTTGTTATACCAAGAAGGTTTTGTGTGAGTTTCTCAGTTTGATTTCAATTTGTCATTTTTTCTTTTTTCTTTTGAAAAGAGGGAAGCTTCCTGTAGCAGCACAGAAGTTAATCAGTTTCATAATGAGAAAATTTGTCCTAAAAACAGAAAACATTCTTCATTACCATAAGAAACTGTGATTGGAATGAGGACTGGATGATGTGATACCAGGGAGCGTCCCCACTGAAGCAAAAACTGAAAAATATTTCAAAACATGGACTAGTCCGGCATTAAATGTATGTGCTCAAGCAGTTTTTAGAGAAATACGATTGTCTGACCCTCTCCAGGTACCCCTGAGTCTCTGGCAGAGAAGGAGCTCCAGTTGTTGATGATGATCAACCAGCTAAGCGGTCTGAGGGAGCAGCTCCTGGGAGCCCACTCTGAGCAGAGGAACATGGCTGCCCTGCTGCTGGAGAAACAACAGCAGCAGATGGAGCTGGCTCGCCAACAACAGGAACAGGTCTCACACATCATACTCATCCGAACTTGCAAACATCTTGACACTGTAGAACAAATTTCTATCTGTACTGTCTATTACCTTGGTGCAACCTACGATTAACCTTCATGGCCATCAGATGAAATGTAAAAGCAATATCTGTTTGAGATGGCATTTTGTTACCCAATGGTGCACCAGGACAGAATCATTAACAAGGTCTTTGTCATTTCAAAGCTGCATGACAGCGTGTAATATTTATTTTTAGTCTATGAGTGAATGATTGTCTGAATATAAACCACCACCATTTGTTGACACTACATTTAGAGATTGGGGTATGTTGTGCTAGTACTAGCTAACGACTGCATCTTATGTCTCAGATTGCTAAGCAGCAGCAGCAACTGATCCAGCAGCAGCACAAGATCAACCTGCTTCAGCAGCAGATCCAGGTCAGCTCCTCTTAAGACCTTTCAAATCACAGCAAACAGCGCTGGAATGAAATGATGATTAAACATGACAAGTTCTAAATGCACGATGCTGGAACTTTTAAGAAAGGTGTATGTGTATTGCTTTGTCCCAGCAGGTAAACATGCCCTACGTAATGATCCCGGCTTTCCACCCCAACACCCAGGCCCTCCCGGTCACCTCTGACCCCCAGATGACTTTGCCTCTGCAACCAATCCCCTGCAAGCCAAGTGAGTCATCAACTGGAGAGGTTTTAGATTTAGACATAGTTGAACTTCAAGTTAAAGTATAAAACATAGAATATACAACGGATATCAGAAGCCTGGACACCACTAAACAGCCTGGAAAACACTAAAATCACTGCATTCATATTAAAAAGTAACCTAACAGGAATGTTGACTTGCAACATGCTGAGTCGCGTTTTCATGGGAGTCCTCTGCATTAGAATCCTGACAGTCTAAACATGACTGTAGTTTAGTTGGAGGTACGTTTTCATGCCGGACAAAAGTATCCAAGTAGCGCAGAGCATAACCCACTTCTCTGCCATTTACCTTTGTGCACATACAATCAAGCAACTTAATTGTGGTGGGATTAGTAGTGTTCTGTATACCATTTAATCCATCTTTAGTTGTCACTGTGATCTTTCAATAATCGTACAAGGTTTCTCTCCACCAGCCCTTTGGTGTTGTGATTTTTTTATTTTTTTTTTAAAGCTTTTTCCAATGCACCCTGTTGTGAAGGAAGAATGAGCACTCAGCGAATCAGACAATGACTGTGAGCTTTGAAGGCCAGAACTTTTGTGCTGAAAAGATATCTCCATCAGTACAGCTCCATGAGTTGCCATCCATGAGAGGTTTTGAAGAGAAGCTTAAACATATTTGTGTACTTCAACTCGGGGCCTATTTTATAGAAATGGAAAGGCATCTGTGAGACTTAACTTAAACAATATGCTTGATAGTACCTTTCACACACGCATGCTTGTACAGTTAGCAGGCTATACAGGGCATGCCTTAGAAAGCTACAGCTTTGTGCAATCTTGCTTTCAAGAGTCATAAAAGCTGTGCTTGTGGGTGACCTTGTCTTTTCAGTCTTTTCAAACTCAAAGACACAAGGCCAGTCTTTAAAACCGTGTAGGCGGAATTTAAGGATAGCTATTCATTTGCTTTTCTTTATTTCAAGAAATGCATGTGATGTGTGTGTGTGTGTGTGTGTGTGTGTGTGTGTGTGTCATTGCTGCTGAATGTTTTGACAGATGAATGTAAGAAATGTAGAAGGACCGCTGGGTTATGTGGAAGAGGTCAGCTGTAGCGAGAAAGTTCTTTGAAGACACATGTGGAATGGAGCTCTTTGGTGTTTGCTGTTATTTTGGAAGTGTCTTCGATTTGCTTGCGTGTTTGCTCGCTATCAACCGGGATGTTGTTTTTTTGGGGACATTCCCTTGAAGTCCAAATTAAAATCATCTCAGTTCTAGGCGCTCTGTGAATTGTGTTAATAATGCTATGACAAAGCATTCTTTCTCTCAGAATGACCCCGTCACTTATTTCAATAAATCAAAGTTTGATGAGTCAGAACTACCATGAGAAGTTGTTCTAATTAGTCTTTGCTTATCACAGTCCATCTACGTTGCAAAATTTACACTGCCCCCTCATTTGTTCTGTCTACATACATGGAGATATTGCTGCCGCCATAATGCTGCAGGGTTCTGGTCAGTTTAAATAGTAAAAGGCATTTGTGCTCAGTACTGGCACACTCACTATCAGGATCACTAAGCTTTCAGGTGAAGAAATAAAACACTTCTGCAGAACGATATGCTCAGTACGACACTGAAAATTCTAAGTAGCAGAAAGCTTTGTCTGTATGTTTCTACATGTGTTCTCATGTTTATTAGTCCTAAATGCTTAGCTAGGAGGCAAGGGAAGAAATTGTATTTTCTGTTGTCATTTGACTGCTGATTCACACTATTGATCATTTTAGTGAACAATGTTAAATGTGCACAATGTAGAACTACAAATTCAAATAAAAACTGGATAAATTAATTGAATAATATTAGTGAGCTAGTCGTTGTTGTAAATGTATGTTCTTTATTAATTAGTCTTCCAAAAGAATCTAACATATAGAGATATAAGTGGGAAGTACGTCTTAAATATTACATTATAGAAATAGTGTCTGTAGTTTGCTGATAGATCAAGGTATGCAAATCAAATCCCAATGTGTTTATATACATATAGATTTGTGGTTGGATAATGTACTTATATACCACAAGGTGAAATATTTCTAGCTGTTTATTCCTGCATATACTTTGCCATACTGCCTTTATTGTGGTTGCTATCACTGTAATCAGTCTGGTGGTATTATTATTTAATCATTACTTTATTGTCATGGTTTATGAAGGTTCGTGTTTATGAAAGTTTTACAACTGAATTAGTACTATTAGAAGAAAAAAAATACTCCAAGCAAAAGGACCCAGATTTATAAATCTATTGGTTATATGGGGACCAAAGTGTCCAACATTTACATTTATAATAGATCCATATGTTCTTTTAATAGAAGGTAAAGACAGATAAAAATGTAGTTAAGGCACAACACAATGAGGCTGCCAATTGGAGGGGAAAATGAATTAGAGAACACAGAAAGTGAACATTTTAAAAAATCAACAATCAGACCCAGCAGTAAACAGTAAATTGCAGATAAAAGGCAATAAAATGACATTAAATAGTACTGAGCTGTCTTTTAAAAACATAGTGACTCATTTCACCATTTCATGTATACTGTATTTAATCTCTGTTTATTCCTGCATTGTTTACTTTGCAATATCTTTAGTTTGATTGTTTTATTTTGAACAGTTTGGGTCTCTGTAGTTTCGCTGTCCACACCCCACAGCTGTGGAGCAGGCACCTGGTACAGTGTCACTGCCCACTTTCTGTAGTTAAGACTGGTGCATCTATGAGAGACGTAGTACCTTGTGCTCTGGCTTCACTAGATTCTCCTCTACCAGCAACGCCCTCAGCACTGGTAACTCGAAAGACAAATAAACTGCAATGGGTTAAGCTTAACATGCACACTAGTGATGACTGAGTATGACTGCCATCATACAGTGTGTTTCCTATCTTTGAATGAATGTGCATTGTTCTTGTGTTGTGTCTGCTTGAGGCTGAAATACAGTAAATGAAAAGCAAAAGTACACTATGTGTTGTGAACTGCAGAGAAGCTATGAGCGGAGGGGGTTCGCTAACATTTCAATTAGTTGTGCTGATGCTTTACATTTACTTGCTTTAAGCTCGCTAATGTTAACAGTAACCAGACATTGTGTTCCATAAAAGAGCTTTTGAACCAGGTTGTCTCTGATGCGACTGACCATTCTTGGTATTTAATCTTCAACTGGTGAAAATGTTTTGTTTTGTTTTCTTACCTGGAACAGCTGTGGACTATTCTATGCAGCTGCTGCCCAACACTCACTCCACCCCTGTCAAGAGGAGCAGTGGTTCCTTCCGACAGGTACAATATCACTACACTACATATATTGTACGTACCAGTTCTGTGCATGTTAACGTGTTAGTCAAGCGCTTTGAGTACCACTAAGGTAGAAAAGGGTTATATAAGTGCAGAGCATTTACCGTTGAGTGCACATATTGCTAAGAGGGTAGTGAAACGTGGCAGCATGGTTTTGACTGTGTAATGTGTGTGTGTGCTGTATATGTGTGTGGTGGAAGAGATGAGAAAGTAAGTGAAGCCTTCTGGATTGAACAAATAGTAACCTTTAGGGTCATTCCATCCCAAATTATCACATTTTTAAAGCAATTTCTGCTTGACCAGCTCTGATTTGCCCAGAATGTCTGAAGATATAGCAATTTATTTTAATATATTTGTGAAAATTTAGCTTGATACATGAAATACTTCCCAAGATAAATTTTTTTCTGCCCACTTTCAGCACATTTTTACACACACTGAGTTTTGAGGCTATGTTTGAATGACAGTATCTCAGGAACTATTAAAGATAAAAGCCTGAACCAAAACTTTCACTGCTACTTATCATCATGTCATCAATCAAGTAGATCAAATACTCTCGTATCATAAGTGAGTTGAAATCCCTTCACTCATTAAAAAAACCAAACCATATGTAGTTTTATGTCACAATAGTACAAAACAACACAATTGGAATTCTTTTTAAATTTGAAACATTTGCTCACAAAAAATGAAAAGAAAGTTATTTCTGTTTAACCTTCAGAACTGATTGAGCAGATATGACAAGATGTGTGACAAAAAAACAAAAAACATTGCTAGCTAGTAAAATGCTTCTCTAAATGTAACTAATATGTGCATATTTTTCACTTCTGAAACCCTGTATTTGGTCATTAAGGTGACAGCATCATAACATAGCAATAACCAAATACAAACATTTGTTTAAATAGTGGGAAATTGTATCCTTTTACATTTAATGGTAATCTGATGTACCTGTGTGAGCAAGACTTTAGTGCTAAATGTATTCTCATGATGGCTATGGAAAATGTTTGATAGGATCCAAGAGGATTTTCTGACCTTGTTTTCAACTGGGAATAAACTTGGCCTTCAAGACCAATGTCACAAGCTGAATTTTGTGCTGAATGTTAAAGTGTGAGTGCATGTTTATTCATAGGAACTGCTTAAAAGTTTATCTCAACAGCTGAAGGGCAGT